TTTTTTTTTTTTTTTGGGTTGTAACCATCACTATTGTTTGGTGGGCCTGGGCTGGATTTGAACCTGCCACCTTAGGTGTATGTGGCTAGCACCTTAGCCACTTGAGCCACAGGCACCGAGCCCGAGTGGTGGCTGCCATGCAGGCTTGCTATGCTCTTCTAACCTCCACCCCTTCTCTGACTTGGCCTTGCACCCTTTGTTACTGCATTTCAGGCACTAATTACCACAATGTTGGAAGTTGTCAAAACTGTTTTTCAAATCTCTTCTTGGTTGTCCTGAGGTGGGGTCAGGGCATTCCTCTGTGCTCTCATAGCCTGTCCCTGTTGAAACACTCATCATGTTATGTGGCAGCTGCTTGATTACACATTTGTTCTTCCCACAAGAACAAAGGAGCATGAGCTCCTTGAGGGCAGAGACTGTCAGTCATCAGCAGAGCCCAGTATGTAGTGTGTAGTACATATATTAAGAATTACAAGGGGTCAGCTCCACTGTTGGTACCCCCTCATTTCTCCTTTGCTTATTTCTTCTGCCTTGGAAAATAAAGTAGAATAACCCCTACCATGAAGCCTTCCCTGGGTTGATAAATTTCAAGGTTGTGTAAGAGGTTAGAGATTAAGATAATATTAATATTATCCTAATAATAATATTTTCCTAATAATATGATGATGATCCTAATGATGCCAATATTATCCCCATTTTCAGTTTGAGGAAATTGATGTTCAAAGAGTTGAATGATTTGCCATGGTTGTGTGACTAGGGATATCAGAATCCAGATCTTTGAACTTCTAAGTTCAGAGCACCCTCATCTGCTCTCCAGCTGTTTTTAATTCTTAAATTTAGTGCATCCCATCCTGCATGTAGGCTAGGTATTGTTATCTTCATTTTTCTGAATAGGAAATCCAAGTCCCTACTATTTAAACAACTTGCCCTAGTCCATACAGCTAGAAAGGATAGAGTTGGAGTTTGTGTCCAGGTCTGTGTGATTCCAGGGCTCTGCTCTTTTTTGCACTGTGCCACCTCTTCTCAGTATTGGAGGGTTTGGACTGAGAGAAGATGGGCTGAGTGAGTGGAGAATCGGGGGAAATGAGAACCAAAGCTAACCTAGCTCTTTTGCCATCTACCCCTTCCCATCCCAGGTTGTGGGAACAGTGCCCTGAGCTACGAGCTATTCCTTGGAGGCTTCCCTGATGTGACCAGTGTGGACTACTCATCAGTAGTGGTGGCTGCCATGCAGGCTCGCTATGCTCATGTGCCCAGGCTGCGCTGGGAGACCATGGACGTGCGGGCCCTGAACTTCCCCAGTGGCTCCTTTGATGTGGTGCTTGAGAAGGGCATGCTGGATGCCCTGCTGGCTGGGGAACAGGATCCCTGGGCTGTGTCCTCTGAAGGTGTCCATACTGTGGATGAGGTTTTGAGTGAGGTGAGGGAGCAGAGAGAAGGGCAGATCAAGAGGTGGGGGTGAGGTGTTGAAGTTTCAGGAAATTGGAAAAACTCAGAAGTCGGAAGAAAGCATGGTTTGGAGCAGGTAGTGGGCCACCCTCATGAGTGTGGTTCTCTGAGGAAGAGGGGTGGTTAAGCTGGGTCAGGATTAGAGGGGCCTGAAATGGCCAGACTCAAAGACTGATGTTTGGCTACTGGGTTGCTCTAGGGATGAAGCAGCAGCCAGGTTCCAGAGAGGTCATGCAGACTGGGCAGGTGAGAAGGTGGTGGGAAAATAGAGTGCCTGCTCCTGCCTATCTGGAATATAGCTCTACCCCCATGGAATGCCTAGGGGAAGAAAAGGTGGCTTACTCTTTGCCATGAAAAGCCTGAACTACTGGATGTAGGGTAGCACCTGACGTGTGACTAGGGAGGGCTTATGGAGTAGCACTGACCTTTGAGAACCTTCAGATCGACTTCTCACCAATGGCTTCTCTGTCTGTCTTGCAGGTTAGCCGGGTGCTGGTCCCTGGGGGCCGGTTCATGTCAATGACCTCTGCTGCCCCCCACTTTCGGACCAGACACTATGCCCAACCCCATTATGGCTGGTCCCTGAGGCATGCAACCTATGGCAGTGGTTTCCACTTTCATCTCTATCTTATGCACAAGGGTGGGGAACTCAATGTGGCCCAGCTGGCCCTGGGGTCCCAGATCCTCTCACCCCCTAGACCTCCTGCCTCACCCTGCTTCCTTCAGGACTCAGATCATGAGGATTTCCTTAGTGCCATTCAGCTGTGAGGCCTGAAGTGTGGTCCTCCAGCTCTTCCTGCCATTTCTGCCCTGGCTTCTCATGTAGTTGGAATTCCTAACTCAGGGCTCAAGGTTGGAGCCAAGATGCTCATTTCCTAGAGACCTCATGTCTAAGACAGAAGGGGAGAGCAAACCCACATGAACCAATATAGCCCATCCAACTAGATTCCAGCTCCTAGGTTTCTTGCTTCCTTCTTGGGTTCCTCAGATCTCTTCTGGATTCCCTAACCTCCTCTGCCACCACATTGAACCACCAATGAATCATCCCCTGAGAGAAAGCTCATCGTAACCCCTCTGCACACCAGCCGGCCTCAGAGACTTCCCTCCCTGCTGCCTGTTACTGATTCTCATCTAAGCTGGACTTATTCACAGGAAGCTGCAGACTTTGAATCTAGATTGCCTTTTGCTTCCGTCTCCAACTGCAGCTCTAACACTGGTGATCTATCCTGTTTGGGTTGTACCTGTACCCAAGGAGGCCATGTTGCACTGATGTTCCCAAGCCTGGCTGGCCTGTCTGTCTTCACTTGGCAACCCTCCCCACCAGCAACATGCCCCTGAGAGTCCCAAGCTCTGCCCTCCTCCCATTTTGGCCTGGCTCCTGAACAGACCTAAGCAGTGGCCACACACACACAGGGAGGTCTGTGTTTATTCACACACTCCTGGTACAGTGAGGATGGAGGAACATTTACAAAGGGCACCCCTGGGTTGAGAACATCTCTAGGGCCACAGATGTCATCCAAAGGTGCAGAGCAGTTCCCATTTGGGTTCCCAGGGGCAAGATGCAGGGGCCCAAGGTAAAATCAGATCTGGGCCCTTGGAAGGTGATGATACCTTGGGAAGAAAAAGTCTGCCAGAGAACCTCCTGGGGTCAGGCCTGGGCAGACTGGACATGTGGTTGATAACCATGTTGGGGGCTTGTCCTACCCCAGCCTCAACACCCATCCTATCCGCCAGGCGCAGAAGAGTGTGGCCGAGACTGAGGGGAGGGCAGAACCATGAGCAGAGCCAGTAAACAAAGAGTCGGATATAAAAATACAAATGTGCCGAGGAAGTCCCTTAGAAAGAGGCTGAGGCTGGGGTCACGCCAGACAGGGGTGGGGGTGAGGAACGGCCCCGGAGGACTGGGCTCCGGTGGGTGAAAGCTCATGCAAATGCGCAGCCAAACATCCCTGGCCGCGCGCGATCCGACACCTGCGGCCGCCGGGTCCGCAGACCAGACTGGCCGTAGGGGGGCGGGGCAGGGGAGCCGTGCGGGAGGGGGGGGGCCGGGGACTGGGGGCCGCGGGTCTCTGTCCGTTCCGTCGTGTGGGATGGGGCTGCGGCCCGAGGTTCTAAAGTGCATGAGCGCGGCGGCGGGCTCCTGGCTGGTCCGCGCCGCCGCTACCGCAGCCGCCGTGGTGCTGAAGCGGACAGCTCCGGAGTGCCTGGCGGCGGCGGCGGCGCGGCCCTGCAGCCCCCGCCCGCGGGCGCTTGGGCCGGGGCGGGGGGCGCCGACAGCCGCATCGCCGGCCCGCGCTCCTGGCCGCTGCGAGGCTGGGCCCGGAGCCCGCCGCCCGAGCCGGCGTGTCTACACTCCGGACGGCGGCTTCTCCCCCATCCCCTTCAGCACGTCGTCTATCCGGTCATCCTCGATCACCACTGCGCAGGAAGAAAGCGCGTCAGCCCCGCGGCCTCGGGGGGCGGCAGTGACAATGGGCCCGAGTCCTAGCACCCAGCGCGGCTACTGCCCATGGCCCAGAGACGCCCCTCGGAAACCTGTGCCATGGTGTCTTCCCTCATCTGAACTCTACTGCCGACCCAACCTGCTGCCGAGCCTCTCCCACAGACCCCTCCCCTCCCTAAGGCGGAACGCCCCTCTTCCAGACTCCAGCTATTCTCCCACCCAGTACCAGCCCTCCCGCTTCCTGAATCTTCCTCTGAGCTGATCAGAGACCACTTGTTCATGGACTCCCCCTCTTCAGCCCTAACTTCAACAGAACCCCCTCCTCAAATTGGAGCTCAAACGGAATATCGAGTTCGTGCAACCTCTTGCCCCTTGAACCCCTCTTCCAATCTTGGCACCAACAGAATGTCCCTCCCCATGCAAACAAGCAGGACAAGCGAGCCCCGGCCTCCTGCCCTCCAGTTGGACGCCCCTCTCAACCCGAAGGTTCTTCGTAGTATCCATCGACTCAGTATGTAACCCTAAGAATTGGCTTGTCACCTCGTGTTCCCACTTGCAAGCAGCCCCAAATGCTCCTACCGGCCCTTCCCCCTCGCCAGGTGCCAGGACTCTGCTTCCAGAGGTGGCGAACATCGAATCCGGGGCACCGTGTTCCCAGGAGAGGGGAAGAGGGGGACACAACACTGCAGCAGGGACCCCCCCAAACCCCAGCCCGAGAGCGGCTGGCTGCGCTGGTCTGCGGCAAGAGCTGCGGGCACTCGGCGGGGAACGGCAGCCGAGGGGCGCCCGGCGAAGGGTTTCTGGGTCAGGCGGCGACTCTGGGCCCGGGCCGCGTACCTCGCTTGGCTCGGCCAATCTGGCCCAGCTTAGGGGGTCGCTTGGCCTGGTTGCCTGCGAAGAAGGAGTTGGTGTCCTGCAGGCGGCAGCTGAAGGAGAGATCGGAGCCCTCGGGGTCTGCGCCGAAGCGGCCCATCTTGTCCTCGCTGTAGGGCAAGATCTCGGACATGGCGGGCGCGGGGCGGGCGCGGGACTGCAGCGGGGCGCGGGCGGCGGGCTAGCTGCCGGACCGGCCCTAGCTCAGCAGGGTAGCCGGCGGAAGGATGAAGTCATGCAGCATCCGGGGCTGCGGAGCCAAGCGGGGCCT